GTGGTGCAGAAAAGACAGCGCCTCCCTCTACAGCAGAAGTTCCTAAAGTTAGGCCACAAAATCAGAAATAAGGGCTCCTACACTCTGGGAGGCTGAGGCAGGAGGACCACAAGCAGAGCCCGCCTGGGCAACCTCAGAACTTAGCAATACTGTGTTTCAAAATTAAAAAATTGTGGAAGAGGGAGATGTAGCTCAGTGCAAAGGCTTTGAGTTCAAAACCCAGTCCCAACAAATTGTAATAATAACAATAATAATAATAATAATAATAATAATAATAAAATGTTTAATGGTCTGGGGATTTAAGCTCAGTGGCAGTGCCTGCCTGGCCAGCACAAGGTCATGAGTTCAACTCCTGGTACTGGAAAGAAAGACAAACAGAGAGACAGAAGAGAAGAGAAGAGAAGAGAAGAGAAGAGAAGAGAAGAGAAGAGAAGAGGAGAGAAGAGAAGAGAAGAGAAGAGAAATTTAAATTCCAGGAGAAGATAGGAAAGAGCCTGTCAAAATGCTGCAAGGGCAAAAGGAAAAAATAAGTCCGAGGATATATAACTTAAGTTCAAGCAAAATCTATTTGAAACTACATTTTAATGTTCACAGCCTGATTTAAAGTAGTATCAGGGGGCCATGGAGATAGCTCAGCGGTCTAAGTGCCCACCTAGGCAAGCTCAGGGACCAGGGTTTGAACCTGGCACCACATGCCACACCAGCTATCGAGACCCAGTGTGGTGGTCCACACCTGTAATCCCAGCACTGGGGAGGCTAAGACAGGAGGATCACTATGAGTCTGAGCTGCCTAGTGAGACCCTGTACCAAATACATAAAAAAAAGAGTAAAAAAAAAAAAATGTTTAAATAAAGTAGTATTAGGAAACCATACAGCACGCACGCATCTGGACTCTGCTCTAAGGACCAGAAGAGGGGCTGTGCATGGAGCCCACGGACGCCAGGATGCAGGTTGTTTGCACTTTGAAACTTTTGGCTGTAAAAGTAAAAGTATCCCACGGCCACAGGCACATTCTTCCAAAGCAACAGCCAGCGCCACACACAGTGCCACTCTCAGCCAGGGCTGTCACATACACTCCAGCCTCCACCAGGGCCTCTTCCCCAAATCGGGCTGAACGTGCCTCAGACACAGGGCCTAGACCACTGCGGACCTCAGTGGTCCTGAGTTCTAGAACAGCTTTTCCAACTGTGCCCCAGGCAAAAACACTTGGCCTTCAGAAAAAGGCCGATCCACACAGAGCCAGACCACCACAGAACCACAGAGCCACACGGCAGGCCCGGGCCCCTAGTGCAATGCCTTGGACAGCCATGCAGCGCTGGCCCAGCATGCATGCACGCGCACACGCGCACACACACACCACGAGGCCTAACTGCATAAACATTCCATGTGGCTGCTATGCTGCTCTGGACAAAGGGTAAGAAAACCTGCGAGCAGCAGGCACAAGGGCCGCAGGCTCGGGCTCAGAAGCAGCAATGTCACCCGCACCGGCAGAGCGTGGTTCCTGGCCCAGAGGGCCAGTGTCTCGGATTCAGGGCAGGAGGCTTGAAAAGCCACGCAGGAGCCCTGCGGGATGGACTCTATCCTCCGAGCCTGGAGCTGCCTGTCCAGCGGGCTCCACATGCGACCAGGCTGTGGGACGGCACCCAGGTGGGCTCCAGTGTGCAGAGGTAAGAGCAGAGGCTGGGCTGGAGAGACCTTCGTGCCGGGGTGCAGCGGGGGCCAGAAGCCAGGGGGCCCCATGGGGCAGGATCTAGGGACTGGCGGAGAGTGAAGCCCAGCGTAAGGAAAGCGCTGGGCTCAACCAGGTGGTGGAGCCATGACAGAGCACGGCACAGGCAGGAGAGCGCGCCAGGCAGCCCTGTGCTGTGCTGAGAGCCCAGGAAGGAGCGGGTGCGAGCACATGGGCTTGGGGCCGGGAGAAGCCAGTTCCCAAGGGAACCGCTCCAGGGCAGGACCTATGCCCCATCCTGCCCCTACAATGATAGCCACAGGTGCAGCACAGGGACCCCCCATGTGGGGATCCTGAGCACTCATGACCCAGGCCGTCCTGGGAGGGTGGGTGTGGCCACAGGATGGGGCAGTCCGGACCTGGGCAGCTTGCCCTCAGATGGAAGCCAAGAGGGTAAAGTGAGCCCCAGGGCAGGCCTGCTCCCCAGAAGAGAACAGACTTTGTCTCTCTCTCCGCTGGCTAAACACAGGCCACTCTGGGGCCCTGGGACCAGTAACCACTGGGCTTCAGGGTCTCTCTTGAGAGCTGTGTGGGGCAGAATCCACAGGCCCCAGCTCAGGGCCTAGGAGCTCAGAGCTCCCAAGGGGCCTGAAGAAGGGTACCCCAAGAACAACAGCAAAATCCACTCACCCATCCTGCACCCTCTCTACCACCCTGCAGACTTGAACTCAGCCCAGGGGGGCATCTCAAGCAGGGTGCAGCAGGGTGCAGCGCCAGTCCAGAGCTCTCCAGGGTGCAGTAAGCTCTGGGACAACAATGCCACTACACCTCAGGAGGGGAGGGAGGGCGTGGGAGGCCAGGCTAGAGGGCGGAAGTCAGCTCAGAGCAGGAAGCCGCCCCAGGCAGCTGCAGGGAAGATGGGAAAGTTGCAAACCTAGTAGGGCAAGGAGGAAAGAAGGGCTTGAGCCTGGAAGGTCGGGGCGTGCAGAGCCAGCTCTGGCCTTTCTTAAAAGGTTCGTGCACTCCCAAAGAATCTGAGCTGTCTGCCCTGCAGGGAGACAAGCTTTAAAAGAAGTGCTTTTTAGTCCTAAGAAAAAGACAAAAGATTCCACTACGGAACATGGTGAGGAAGAACCACTCTCGAGAAGTCTGCACAAGTTCTCACATTTTGTACTACAAAGTTAGAATGACAGTGCTGAAGGAGGTCACGATCCCAACACCAAAAACTGAGACACATGATCCACCACAGCAAGTCATCTAGTGGGGCACAGCTCACGACCCACAGCTACTTCCTTGGACATCTGGAAGCACCTTAGAAGGCCAAAAATACATTTTCTAAAACACCAGCTTTCTCAGCCCATTAAAAGACTTCCAAATGGAAAATAAGGAACAGCACATCAGATCGCTGGGCCTCAAAGTCCACGTCAGGGCGCTACCCCAAACCTCCTACGACATCACACACAAGCCGAGGCCTGCACCCCAGCAGACCGTTCACATGTCAGAGGTCCTGGAGGGCAGACCCGCACACTCTGAAAACGTCCGGGCTTCTCCAGGCTTTCCCCTTCTACACAAGCCACTCACCCGCTCATCTGCTCAAGCACAACCTCACACAAAGCCATCTTCCAGAGTTTCAGGCCTCCTTCGTTAACCAGAAGTGCTCCTCTGTCGCAGATGTGCCATCGCAGCTCTCAGGAAGATGAAGCCAGATGCCAACACGGGCCTCTGCACAGATCCCTGCGTGAGATAGCGCCGCTAGGCACGCCTCCAGATGCACTCAGACCCTAACGGAAATTTCGATTGTGCTCTCCAACGTTAAAGCCACATCCAGATATTCAGCTTGTAAAAATTCTGATTCTTGGAAGCCTCTCCGGGCCCACACGCCTGGCTCTGGAAGGCTCTCCATCAGCCTAGAACACTCCTCCTCCTCACTTATCAGTGCTAGAGTCCACGACACTGAACAAAGGCACAACACCAGGTGCTGCCTCAGTGCTGGCGTCTCGGGTCCATTTTGGTCTGTTTGTCGGTAGTGTTGGGGACAGAAGCTAGGGCACCTTGCACACTGGGCAGACTCCCACGCCATGCTGCACTCCTGACCCTCGCCGTTTCAACCCCTTTAATCCACAAAACAACCCATTTTCCAGTGAAGCCACTGGGGCACCAAGAGGGCGGGCATCGAGCCCAGTCACGCTGGGAATGGTAAAGCTGGATCCGAACCCAGGAGCTCAAGTTCCAGGTGTTTGGATCCAGAACCAGAGAAAAACCTAGGAAGTGAGTCTCACAATCCCCAGGGCAGGGGCCACAGCTCGGCTGTCAGCACCTGCCTAGCACCGCGAACAAACCAAGACACGCTAAAGCTTCGCAAGAGGAAGGAAGGAGGCCAAGGCTGCTCTGAGAAGCGGAAGCCCTGGCTGCCTCTCTGCTTTCTCCCATGCTGGGCCTACTGACAGTGCTCCGGGCACCCACTACGTCCCTGCAGTGCCCTCTCAGCCCGGCAGGCTGGGCCCAGACAGCAGCCCTGGACGCAGCTGGTGTCCCTCCAGGGCCTGCGGGCAGCCGCAGGGGGCTCACCCCCACTGTGCCTTATCTCACATGGCCCAGCCGTGCTGAGCTCTGAGTCACTCGCAGCCTGCTCCCTGTGCACCAGCTGTATCTTACACTTTCCTAGAAATGTTACTATATTTTTCCTCCTTTTGCTTCCTGGGAACTAAACCCTGGGGCTTCACCAGTGCAGGCAAAGTCACAGTTACTCAGGCAAAGGCCCAGAAGGAGGTAAAATAAGAAAGGCCTCAGCTGCTCCTTGCTCTAAATAGCACATGGTGGCCAGGGCCTCGCATCTGGAGTAGCCTGGGGCTCTGGTCCTGGCCGCTGGCGCTGAGCTGAGGGCCGCCCTCGGCACTCCTGAGCAATAGGAACAGTTCACAAGTCCCAAAGGTCACGGGAGGTCTCACACGTGACCAGAGGCTGGGCACCCAGCCCCACCCACCACTGCCGGCTGAGGAACTGGGATGGGCCAAGGACTCTGGACCAAGAGGGACTGGGGGTGTCCAGGTTGAAGCCCAGTGGGTGGCAGCTGCAGGGAGCTGCCCCTGGGGAGAGCCTGAGTACCCCCAGATCCTTCTGCTTGAACTGAACCAAGCCACACCAGGGAGTGACACCATACTTCCTGAGTCACCAAATGGTCCCAGCAAACTACAGCAGAAAGAGAAAGCCGTGGGAACAGTCTCGCAGCTGGTCAGACAGCACACACAGGGTGGTCCTGGGGGAACAGTCTCGCAGGACTGGGCTCCATCCCTTGGGAGGGTCACACAGGATGGAATTCCAGGACACTTACCTGGGGCGCACGCTCAGGGACTATCCAGCGTGGGCCGCTGAGCCTGGGGGGTGCCCTGGTGGGAGATACACACGGGACCTGGAGGCCTGAGGGGAAAAGAGAGGAGGAGACAGACAGAAATTAATAATTTTTAACATGAAATGTGCATTTGTGTGACATTTGTCTGACGGTCTAATGAAGACGGTTTAACATCAGACTGCTCCGCTTTCCCTTTCTGAATGTGGTTACCCGGAAATCGGAGTCACACGCCCTATTGTTCACCTTGGAGCCTGCTGTCTATTGCTGCTGGATAGCGCTCCGGGATATTTTCACTGCAGAAACGTAGGCATCAAACCACTTCTTTATCTCAAAATTTCACACACACAGAGCAAGCCATCGAGGGATATGAGTCATGGGAGGGGAAGGACTTTGTATTTACTAAGCGCTTGCTCTGAGCCAAGAACCAGCCAGTGCCTTGCACAATGCCACGCTCGCGCTCACACCCGTCGGGTGAGGGTGTCCTCCTGTCCCCTGCAGGGGCACAGGGGCCCAGAGGGACGCAGCGTAGCTGGTGGCCACGCATGCCACTCCTGCCTGCACTTCAGGGTCAGTTTCTGAAGGAGAAACAGCATCCAGGCTGCATGACCACCACCACTCCACCCTGCCACTGTGCCAGAGAGGAGCCACAGCTCACATGTACCAAAGCAACCCAGTGTCTTCTCATAAAACAGTTCACGGGAACAGGCCACGAGCCGCATCTGAGCCACGCCTGGGCCAGCCACCAAGCTCCCCATCACAGTGGCACACGAACTTCCTCCATCACAATCCCTCACTGTGCACAAAGGGCAACGGCTAAGAGGCAGTCTTCCCAAAGCCCTGACACGGAGGGTAAGGAACGCAGGCACTTGCAAGTGAGCTCACCACTGGGCTCCTGAGCTCTCCCTGGACATCGGGTCAAACAGGCCACGCAGGGCTTGTCACCAGGGGGCTAGGGGAGTGGCACATTGCAGCTGGTTCCACGGTGTATGACAACAATAAAGCAGTGGGGGACCAGAGCAGCCCTCCACCAACACCCACGTGCACAACAGATGCCCCAGGGGATGTCACACTCCAGTCCCCAGGGTCCTAACGGCGCCCCAGCTCAGCCTCCTCCCCACCCCAGCACATGTATCAGAGACACCGGGTGAAAAGCCTCCATCCAGGACCACACCACCAGGACACCCAACACACAGCTTCACAAATCCAGCGTCCCGGGCTACCGGAACGGCAAGAAGCCAGCAAAGCCCCTGCAGGCAGAGCAGAGGAGACTGACGGGGGCACCTGGGCCCTGCTTGCTGAGCTTGTGGTGGGGGCACAGAGCAGGGCCCAGGTGCGGGGTCAGGCAGAGGGGAGGGAAGGGTCAAGCTCTTCTCAGCCGGCAGGGGCCCAGGCAACCTAGCCAGATGCTCCCAAGGTAGGGAGGGCACCCGCACCCCATGAGCCCCTGCTCTTCTACCCAAGCCACTGAAGGACACCTTGACTTCAACCTGGCCAACATGGAAGTTGAGAAAACAGACAAGACTCTTCTTCATAAAAACATCAGAAATTTTGGGCCACTTGGAAAGTACAGAGCGCACTGTAAGAGACATGGACTAAGGAAACAGCACCCTGAGAAGCCTCCCAGTCTGCCTTAGGTAACGTGCAACAGGAAAGGGGCAGCGGATTGGCGCCCGGGGGCGGAGCCCAGTGGGGTCTCCCTCTGCACCTGCAGTTTGGGGAGAGTGGAGCAGAGCCCCCCCATGGCGTCACGGCTGGGGTGACAGGACAGGCTGCCCACTTGGCTGTGACCCCCTCTGTACTCCAAGATGTCACCCAGTCCCCCAGATCCTTCGCCCACTCAGCAGACACTCACTTTCCTCCTCTCCGAAGCACGGGGATCAGGGATGCAGGCGTCCATCTACCTTTAAAATCATGTCACGGACTTGTAGCTCAGATCAAACTTGTGTTATTTTCTAATTAAGTTGATGAGAAACACTAAGCATTAATTATAGTCTATCACTAATTAATTATACTATTTCACAAAAAACATTTTACACTAATCGGCGCCATCAAAAGCTAAGGCAAACGCAGACTGGCTCACTGTGAATCCGATGAGGAGTTGGTAATTACGACTCCACCTGCTTTGAAAGCTAGTATTAATGTATTTTCAGACGCTGGTCAGAGCTCACTCCTACGCCCCGAAACCTGCCCTGCCCTGAACAGCGGTTCACGGAGCAGAAGGCAACCCTCCGGCAACCCTCCGAAATGCTTCATTTTAAAAAAAGGATACAGACCCAGCCCTCAACTTAATCCCCTGCAAAATAATAACTGAGTAACAAAATCCCCCACAAGGGTAAAAGAGTCTCAAAGCAAACACCGCGGAATGAGGCCCTCAGGATCCAAAACAAGCTTCGTGTCTGAGCAGGACAGCTTACAGCAGCACTCCTTCCCAGCCCCGGAGGAGAAGGGGCAATCTGATTACACAAATCTGCCCTGGATTGAGAGGTGGCGCACAAGTGCATTTACCCTACTGCGACAAAAGTCACAACTCACACACTGCTTGAGGCCGCCGTTCTATTGAAAGCAGGTTTTTTACAAGCTGTCTCACTAATATGTAAGAGTTTCAAGGTTTCAAGCAGGTAGGCAGGGTGCGAATCCACTTCATGTTATCTGAAAAGCACAGATCGGCCAGCTCCAACTTTGGGGGCCATCGATCCCAGAAGTACAGCAGGAGTGGGGTCAGCGAGGTGCCGCCGGGCTGTAGCAGGGGCCCAGCTCTCACCAGGCCCCGGGATGTCCCTGCCCGCGGAACAAGCCCAGTGTCTGGGGCCTGCCGCCGCCCGTCTCCTGAGAACCAGCCTCTCCCCTGGCCTGGGGGTGGGGCAGGGCCTTCCCACAGCTGGCCAGGGGAAAGCAAGCAGCATTTTACACACTGTTCACCAAGACCGGACTTGGTCAGGGACTTGTGAAGCCCCCACCTGACTTACAGCACCCTGCAGGCAGCTCTCTGGGTGCCCACATCCCTGGCACAGAGCTGGGTTGGGAAGTACTCCTTGGAGGACTCTGACCCGGCATACACACAGGGCCTTGAGCAGCTCCTGCCACCCTCCTCCAGCCCTCACTACACAGACAGACAAAAGCCACAGCAAGTCACACTTGCCACTTGAGTTCCTCCGCCCTGTGCTGCTCTGAAGGCAGAATACCACCAAAACCCAAAAATCAGAAGACCTGTCTTAATAAGCAAGAAACTGCCCCTTCAACCCTAAGGGAGGCCAGGGCCAGCGACCAGCAGTTGCAGAGAACTCTGGTGACAAGCCCTCACTTCACAAGGACAGGAGGGGGCCTGGGAGGGTGGAAAGGGACTTGCAACATCGGCGGGACCTGTACCGGAGGAAGAGGAGGCTCAGATCTCTGCTCCTCTCATGAATCAAGACTCCTGAAGTTCACGTTCAGACTGGCTATTAATCAAGATCAGAACGATACAGTTGCAACCCTGCTGCCTCCTCTGGAGGTTTCTCTACAGGGGAGGGGCCTGAAACAGTCATCAAGTAGGGGGTGGAGCCCCCACTCCACTCACAGCCAGTCCGGAGGTGCTGCTAAGGGCTCCCAGAAAGCGCTCTGCAGGGCCCCGCTGGCCAGCCCGGTCCTGGCGACCTGGGCTTTGCTCCTCTACGAAACAGGGCGTTCAGGGCCCGGCCTCCCTCGCCCGCCCCCGGAGGAATCCAGTGTTACACAGAGCGCACAAGTAACAAAGAGACACACATCCTGCGTCACTCGGGCTCTCCAATCTGTCCAGAGCATTACTGTTAACTTTCAGCTTTTCACAGTGCACATGAGATGGGGTGACTGAAGAAAATAAAGGACGGCTTGTGCTGTCCTGCCATCCACCGGGGACACTCAAAGCTCAGAGCGCTGTTTGTCCTAGTAACAGAACCGGAAGGCAGGCGGTAAGAACCAGCAAAGTCAAGAGGAAGGGCAACACAACAGGAAATAATTTACGCGGAACAGATGACAATAAAGGCAAGGAGGCTGGGGGGAGCGGGGGTCCCTCTTCATTTCCAGCTCTTCTTACCTGCTCAAGCAAGAAACTATTTACAAAGGAGGAAAAAAAAGTTCAGACAGCAGCCGCCTGCTCCAGGCCGGCTAGTGCGCAGTTTTGTAGCTGTGGGGAGTCAGGGACTCACAGCCAAACGCGAATCCTCCTCTCCCTCCTCTCCCTTCCCAAGGTCTAATTTGCGGTATTTTTGTTCTGTCTGCCCAGAGAGTCTTAGAACTATACAAAGAAGAAAACAAGGCTTTCAAAAGCTAGCACAGGTGAGCAGCTCAGAAATCAGGCTGAGCGCAGAAGTTTTAGAATAAAACTGTAAATTTTAGAAATAATAAAACCATCTTAGGCTGGGGAGATAGCTCAGTAGAGTAAGTGCTTGCCTAGCAAGCACACGGTCCTGAGTTCAATCCCCAGTACTACAAAAAAACAAAATAAAAAACCTTTTTCAAGAAACAATCAGTAATGTAAGTCCCCTCATAACAAAAAACAGACGTCTTTTATTATGAGCTTTTACGAATCCGTTACTTTAAAAGCAAGGGGCAAAGGCCCCTCAGTCACTCCTGCGGGCGCTGCTGGAGGAGCAGGTTTTAGTCACACTCTGCCAGGCACCAAGATGTTTCCCACAAAAACCCGCTTTTCCTAAGTATGTGGTACAGCTATGATGAATTATAAAGTTAAAAAATAAAAGTGCTGTATTTTTTGAAAAAGAAAAAAAAAACCTAAAATAAAATCTTGTAACGCAATACTCCGAGGCTAACAACAGTAATGCCCTGCCTACCGTAACCTTGCAAGTGCAGCCCAACGCTACTCAGCACACACATCACTGGCAAACAAGGCTCATACAAAAGATAAACAGGTAACAGCACAAAACTTTCCTTTTAATGAACTGAGATGTGAGTGGTATGAATGAAACCAATTAGCACGTGTATTGAAATGCTTCGAAACAACAGAACACAGAAGTTCAACAACTCCACAAATAAGCCTCACACCACCACTAGAGATGAGGAAAACCCAGCTCCTCGCTCGGGCCGGCAGCTGCGC